TTTGCTAGGATCTATTGCGCGCGCATGGTCCTGGAATCTGGTTTAGACCGAGGCTCTCGGTGGGGTAGTATCAATCAGAGCTTCTGGAGTATTGTATCTATAAACAGACAACAGCCATATTGGCCTTGAATATCTGGTGCGCTGCCAGACAATGTCTGAATACACAATACTGAAAATGCTTGCACATCAGGTGTCTTTGTCGGCACTAGTACTGGAGCGGCATGACTGTTGACCATCGAGATATGTCATTCGAGACGGTATCAAACCCTCTTGTTCAACCGGAACATTGGCTCCAGATTCGTAGTAGACTTTTTAACGTCGCACGGGTTATTACTAGCAGACCGAGCTCCAACATGATATACAACACCTTGGCTCATGGGCCCATGAGAAAGATCGTTTACATTTTTCTACCATTTATGGTCAGACCTATAGGATTGTTCCTCAAAAATTGGCCATCTGTGGCTCTTGTGCACGGGTGTTCTCCTGTATCCACCCTATTCACTGAATACGGATTTGACGTATTCCTGTCACCTCAAATTTGGCCTTCCGTGTTATCACTCTTCAAAACTTGCAACCTGCTCTTCATCTCATGCCCCGCAAAGCTACCAATATCCCTGGGAAGCAGAAGATTACTCACCGAGAACCCAATCCCAATAAAAGCACATCTCAAGTTACTAGCGCACTACCTTACTGGTCCACTCCCAAGCTTCCTACTCCGACCTCGCTGAACCTTTGTCCTGATGCCGGTGCCGTCAGTGGCATTGGTCCTCGGTCAATATCAGTTACGACAGCTCCTTCTTTCCAAGCCATCAATGTCCAAGCGCAGAGTCAAGGCGGGGATCCTAGACAGATATATAACGGTGCCGCAAATCGTTCTTCCCAAAACCGATTGGTTACTACGACACATCATCAAGGTTTTCTTCGTACCCCAAAATATTCGGACGTAAGCATACTTTTCTGCATTACTGGAACAGACTGACAGGGCAACACCTACCCATATCACCATTTCAGGCTTCGAGTATGCGAACATATAAATCCACGCAGCAGTCAGGTAGTTTCGATGACGAAGAAGCCCAGTCCTTTAAGAGGAAGAGGAGTCCGGATATGAAGTCGACGATGCATGTTTGGGACGCTGGAGGTCCGTCTACTCGCCCGAGTGTTAACGTTGGACTTGAAGAAAAAGAATTGGTCACCAATGTGAGCTGTGGACCAGTTGGAAAGAAGATGAAAAAGGGTGATGCGCTGCCCGCTTCTGGTTCCGGCAGTAAACAAGTCGTCGAAGCTCGTGGATTGGAAGGAAAGTATACTAGGACAAGGTCGGTTTCTCTGGCAGGTTTCAACTTTTCTGCTTCGCCCTTGTCTGCTCCGACTTTTCCGGAACACAATTTCTCTTCTGGGGGAGGCAAGTCTTCGTCTTCCTTAACATCGTGCTCTCCTCCTTCCATCGAGTCTATTTCTCCTATCGTAACCAAGTCGGAAGTGAAGTCGGTCAGTCATAAACCTGCTAGAACGTCTCGGTCTTCGGCTACGGTCAGTTTTATCATTCTGTTTACGACTGAAGTTCTAATAACGACATTTTTATTCGCAGATCTCTTCTAATCCCGTCATACGATTCGAGTCAGCTCCTCATATTTTGGACAATTCTGTCAGCACCCTTCACGGCGACACGCAATCTCACACTCGTGTTCAGACATGTTCGCAGTCTCGACTTCAATCACGATCTCAATATCGACAAAAAGCCCAGCCTCAATATGAGCTCCAGACAGAAACAGAACCATCACAAGAAGACAAACTTTGGTACTGGCCATGTTGGCTATTCCCCGAATACGACGAGGCATTGCAAGAACGTTCCTATGATGACCTTTGTCCTGAGCTGGATCCGAAGAATTTAATTTGTCTGGATGCATTTGAAGGGGAAGTGTTTTTCGGGCTTGAGATTTGAGATTTAAATGTACAGCGTTGTGCTTGCTTGGGCTCTCGGGTTTCAGAGTTTTATGATTCGGTACTTGCGTCGACGAGAGGCATTCTACTCTGTATGAATCTTACATTACCTTACCGACCTACGTAACTACCATATTCACGCATATATTACGAAGCTCTAAAGGTAGATTTGATCCGCCGGCCCGTCTACCCGAGGCCCTCAGTTTCGAGTCGCTCACGTTAGGCTAATCCATCGTTTGGCATACATTTCTCGTTCGCACGCAAAACTTTGAGAAGCATTCTTCCCGCTGGCTTCGATTCCATTTTTCATTCCCAACCAATCTCTTTTCACCAAGCGTCTCTGGTCCTGCCAGCTGATCTTCAAAGCTACAAAAACAAATAAGTTCACACACTTGCAGCAAAAGTGTCTCAGGTCCCCATAGGTGCTCTTTGACACCGGCCAAACTAACCCTTACGAACAACCACTTTTGGCAGGGGGAATCTTTTTTAGCCATCAAACGTACACACTACCAACCACCTGCATGACTCCTCGTACCGAATTCTAATTGCTCTAATTAGGATGTGTGGAGCTTTGCGAAAACTCTGCGTCTAAGTTGGTCCGTACCGGGATACTTCACACATGCGATGAAACCAAAAGCATTGGGAGAACGTCTTTAGAATGCAGTTTACGAGAAGAGGATTCGATCATATCGTGCTCTATATGTATTTCAAGAAAGAACACTCTTCAGCGAACTTTATGATATATAAACCAATAACAACTTTTCCTGTTTGTCCGACCCTAGAATCTCAGGATGTGGTCACCTCTCTTCGTTCTAACACTTGTCGCCCTCTCATCCTGTTCCAACGCCAAAAACGAAGGCCTTGGCTGGCACTTCGTCCAAAATGGTACCACCGGAATTGTCGCTCTAGAATCTATCGTCGTTTCCCCTAGTCTTATCCTCATGTTCGACCGAGTTCTAGGTGATCCGCTACAGATTAACGGACACCAAGCATGGGGTGCGCTCTGGAACACGGAAACTAACAATGTTACTGCAATCAACGTCGTTACGGATACATTTTGTGCGAGCGGGGGTTTCTTGAGTAATGGAACTATGGTATGTTTTGGTTTGCTTCTTCTCTCACTTTCCATCGACGTAGTAATTAGGTTAGTGTGGGCGGTGAACACGTCGAGCTCCCGCCTGATGAACCGGTTGCCCCCGATTTGGACGGTACCACTGGTTTGCGAATCTTTGAGCCCTGCGATGATCCCGCAGGTGTCGGCTGCACGTTATTCGAAGACCCAAAGACTCACCATCTCGATGAACCGAGGTGGTATCCTTCCTCTTTGAGGATTTTTGATGGTTCTTTGGTATGTAATCCCCAAATTTCCTTTATCCGACTAGGTAGAATTTATTGTAGATGATCGTCGGAGGTATTCATAACGGCACTTCCTTCTTCAACGACTTCAACAATGCATCCAAATCAATCGAGTTCTTCCCCAAAAAAGACGGAGGCGTTCCTAGACCCTCCGACTTCCTCGTAAGGACCTTACCTGCTAATTTATTCCCTCGGTATGTATCTCCTCGTCGCACCACAAATCAAGCATTAAAAAATCTATCCTACAGCGTCTTTGCCCTCCCTGATGGCAAAGTCTTTATGGTGGCCAACAACCAAACCATAATCTATGACATTGAAACCGATACCGAAACCATCCTACCCGACATTCCCAATGGCGTCCGAGTAACCAACCCCTATGATGGAACTGCAACTCTCCTCCCTCTCCATCCTCCAGACTTTATCCCGGAAGTCCTCGTTTGTGGAGGAACTAACACGACTGATCAGATCGATCCCTCGGAACTCTCGAGTCAGGATCCTGCTTCAGACCAATGCTCCAGGATTACTTTAACAAAGGAAGGTATTGCCAAAGGATGGGAGGTGGAGACGATGCCCGAAGGAAGGATGATGCCAGAGATGATATTGATGCCGAATGGGCAGGTGTTGATCATTAATGGTGCAGGCTCAGGGTATGCGGCACTACACATAGTGAAAGATCCAGTGGGGGTTTCGAATGCAGATCATGCGGTGTAATTATTGGATTCTTTTTTGCTTCATGGTGAGCAAATGGTGACTGAATTTTCTTTTTAGCACAACTCCGGTCATCTACAATGCAGGTGCTCCCATCGGAAGCAGATTCGACAGAACAGGTCTGCCTACGACTGATATCGCTCGCATGTATCACTCTAGCGTGACTCTAACCCCAGCTGGGTAAGCCCTTTCTTCTGTTCCTCTTCCTTTGCTTTTACTGACACGCCATCATCTTCAGTAAAGTTTTCATTGCTGGCTCCAATCCAAACAGTGGTGTCGCTACCAACCAGAAATTCAACAGCGAATTCCGTGTAGAGTACCTCAACCCACCTTTCATGACTGTCGCTCGCCCTTCTCTGTCTAATGTTCCTTCGAAAGTCGGCTTCAACGATAAGATCTCTGTAGATGTGGATATACCAGAGGGACTCGATACTTCTGATATCAAGGGTATGTCTCATTTTGTTTTTCCGAGATTCTTTTTGTCGATGAATACCTTACACTTGCAGTCGCTCTCATGGATCTCGGCTTTTCATCACACGCCTTCCACTCGAGTTCTCGATTGGTGTTTATGGATGCCCAACTCTCTCCAGACCAAAAAACGTTGGAAATAACTACACCACCGAATAACAGGGTATTCCCTCCTGGTCCTGGTGCGTTTATCTTGCTTTCTTTTTTTCTAAGGTCCTACTAATACTCGCTTGTCTAGCTTATCTCTTCGTCACCATTGACGACGTAACGAGTACAGGAACAAAGATTATGGTTGGTTCGGGCGCTACGCCTCCTGTTGCTGATCAGGGTGTTCCTTTGCCTCATTTGGTTTTGTGAGCCTCCTGGTAGTTGTGGTGGAGAGTCCTCGTAGTTGAAAATGGAATGTATTGTACATGTCACTGTTGACTTTTTTGTACTACATGCTTTTTGATTCTCTTTGTCGCCATTCCGCGAAGACTGGTCAAACGCCTAGATACCTGAACCAAGAGCCTCCCAGATACATGAGTGGCCGACTAGCTCAGTTGGTTAGAGCGTCGTGCTAATATTTAAGGATGTTAACGCGAAGGTCTTGGGTTCGATCCCCACGTTGGCCAATTCTCTAGTTTCTCAGCTTTTTTGTGTAGAAGAAGAGAGCTGGGATATGACAATGCATACCGACTAGATGTCCAGAATTATTGTTTTATTTGATGCGCACAGGTATTTGCACCCGTAGACAGCCGTGGCGAGACCGCAGATTAGAGATGGAGAAAGTAATTTTCTCCATACATAAGTCTGCCAGGAGACAAGGCTAGACGATGTCGGTTCACTCGGCCACCGAGAGTGACATTTGATTGAGGAAATCATGAGGATCACAAGTCATGACGAGAACGGACAAAACATAAAAAGGAAAAAGAATAGAACACAATCGTGATGGTCATAGGTGAAGTGATTGATTTCTTGGGCGGATAACACACCGTCATAAATTGGATGGGAAAGGAAGGCCATTTACATGGGTATATGGCAGGGAACCTGATTCCTGACGCCCACCGACAAGTATTGATTTGGGAACTCTGTAGATAACAAGGAACTCGATAAAGCTCGGAAGTGCCCAAGGAGGAGGATATGGTCAGTGATATCGAAGCGCTCAGATATTTCGAGAGGAACAAGGTCAAGGCACAAGCCTGAAAGCTCGGTAGACAAGCGATGGCAAGTAGATATTTTTGCGCTGCAGCCTGCCGTTCAGCTTTTTTTAACTAGGTAATTTAACCGAAAGAGGTACAGTAGAAGATGTTGGCACTGCGAGGTTCCGCCACTGGCAAGCTGAGCATACAATCGCGGCTCGGAATATGCCCTCCGGCACCCAGAGAGAAATGACGCAGACCTAAATTAAATCCACCGAGACGAGAAACTTGAAGAAGCCTTAGTGCCTTTAGAACAGTATATGAATATTGATATGAAAGAAGCTTCAGAGACGTTATTGGGTCAAGGATGCCTTGCAGGGAATAAAGCCAAGGGACGAATCATAGGGACAGGAGACGCTCTGCAGGTACGAGAATAGATTGAGTAGACTCGGCATGAGAGAAAGTAATACAGCTTCGGTGCCTTGGACCTGATTGGACATGGGGTGTGAGAGGATGCGGTCAGACGAGTAGGTCTTGAGAGCGATTGAGGTGGTGCTGTTGCTGCTACGACGACAGACACAAAAGCTAAGAGTACTGAAGCTGTATAAAAACAATTAAAGAGTGGTTGCTTGGAAGCAACTGGTACTGGATAAGGAGGTTGTTGTAGCGTGGCGCATGGCCAGGCACGGTGCAGAGGTATTGATGCGTGTTTGTTTTTCTCCATCCAGAACAATGCACTCCATTTTGGGCGAGAATTAGAAGAGTATAAAGATGGAGGGGATGGATGAAGAATGGCAGGCAGTGAAATGTTGGCAACGGTCGTCCTGGTCTTGTTCTCGGTGCTGGCCCACTCCCTAGCTGCTCCCGTAGCCAGTTCACTCACCGTCAATACTCCAATCGGTACTGCACAGGGTATTCTCGATGGTTCCGCTGTCCGTTTCGCGGTCAAGTACGCTTCTGCTGACCGTTTTGCTCCTTCGGCCGTGTCTACGGAATGGACTTTGCCCAACAACTCGACGGATCCATCTGCACTTCCCTCGCCGTGTCCCGGTTTCAACAATCCCGATTCTGACGAAGACTGCCTGAGCATGCTTCTCTTCGTTCCTCCTACTTTCAATCCATCTTCTGGCATGCCTGTCTTTGTATGGATTCACGGTGGTTCTTTTGTTATTGGTTCGGCGACCGATCCTGGGCTGGACGGCTCCAATCTCGCACTTGCAACCAACTCGATCGTGGCCGTCATACAATATCGTCTCGCTGGTTTCGGCTTTTTAGCTCCAGACGGAACGACGAACAACGCTGTCCGAGACAGTATGAATGCTCTCAAGTTTCTCCAAAACAACATTGCGTCGTTTGGTGGAAATCCCGATCTTATTACTGTCGCTGGCCAGAGTTCTGGTGCGACTATGATTAGAGCCCTGCTTGCTGCTCCAGAAGCAAGCCCTTTGTTTAAGCAGGCTATCCTGCAGAGCGATCCAATGGTGCGTTTTCATTCCCAAGTTGGGAATCTCATCTAATCTAGTTTCCCCCAGGACTATGGCTTCCTCTCCACGACAACCCAGTCAACTCTGCAGTCCTTCTTCACTTCCCAACTCTCCTGTTCTGCCTCCGATACATCCTGTCTCTCTTCTCTCTCCACGGAAGACATCACCTCCGCCTCCATTAACACATTCGGCGCCGCTCCATCTCTCGACGCTTCCACGGGAGCCTTTTCTCCTCTCCGCCCAGTTCACGACGGTTCCTTAATCACCTCCGCTCTCGACCTGACCTCTTCTCCTTTCCCATCTCAATCCAAGTCCATCATGGTCACTACAGTAAAGAACGAAGCGATGGTGGCGATATACTCTATTAACCAATCTCTCGTTCCCGAATCCGAATTCCCTAGTCAGGTAGAAGATACACTGGGCTCCAACCGAACATCTGTGGTCGTCGGTTCCACATTCTACACTGCACCTACTCCTCAGCCAACTAATGGCGGTGATGCCTCTACAATAGACGCCCGTACTCAACTAGAAGTCCTAGGCACCGACTACCTCTGGAAATGCTCTTCATGGTCGTTTTCCCGTCTATTCTCCTCTGCTGGTGGACGTGCCTTCGTGGGGACATACTTTGTCGGTGCTACCTACCCAGGCAACGACGGAACCTCCCAATGTCTAGAACCAGGGTCCGTTTGCCACCAAGACGATATCGAGATTGTCTTTGGGACGGTGGAAAATCCGACAAGCGAACAGAGTGCGCTGATTAAAGAGATGCAGGCGAGGTACAAGATGTTCTTAAGTACGGGTAATCCCAATGCACCAGCTTTTGAACCTTGGCAAGAGGCGGGGTCAGCTGATGTTAAAGCGAAAAGCTTGGGTGCTGCAGGACTGGTTGAAGTGGGCAGCTGTGAGCCTGATTTCTGGGGGGTTGAGGTCGAGTATGATTATCAGGTTTATGGGATTTAGAGTTCAAGATTTATTGGTTTTATTTTATTCATCTCTGCTGTATCAATCAACACTAATACTTCTCTGTTATCTGTTACACTGTAGCCTTACTCGTTTCGTCTCCTTCCTTCCCTATTCTTCTTTTTTGGGACTCGGATTACGATTGATATGTACTTGGTACACCACGACCTTGTCTGTCTGCTTGTCTCTGACTGTAGCATAACGTTTACAATTTTTCGAATCAGAACTTATATAGATGCAAATCTATCATTCACTTCATCAGCATGTACTGCAGCGAGTTGAGTACAAACTACCCAGTTGAACGAAAAAATGATAGGTCTTCGCTCCATCTAGTGGCCAACGTGGGGATCCAACCCAAGACCTTCGCGTCATTAGCACGACGCTCTAACCAACTGAGCTAGTCGGCCAATATGATAGTAATCGGACTCTTTTGTGACAAAGCAGCCTATGAGAAGCAAAACTTGTGAAATCCGGCACAGTGACGTTGACGTATTAGCTCGTTCTGACCACCCGCTTTGACTCCCGTTGACCCCGAATCAGTAAGACGCGCTCTGAAGGTCAAGGTATGCTCAATCTATCACCTTGGTCACTTTTCCTGCTCAAATCGTTGCAGCTGTCAACGTAGATTCGGGTCCTTCCCAACCACGAGTGATGTTGGACCGAATCTAGACACTCCCCGCTCTTTCGTGAAGACGCCACGACATACTGTTTCAGGATCTAGCTTACGGCCATGAAGGAAGTATGTCCTTACAAATCACAATAATGCCTTGACTCTTTAGGTCAGAAGGGCTCACTATCTCTTTCGGTGGACAGACTTGGACTTGAACTGACGCATCACCTTGATGCGTACGCACGCTTGTAACCACTTTGGGCCCGGGATGGGTTAATTTCCGGTCCAACACATTCATTGATTCTCGTTTAGGACAATGGCGCCCATTGGGTGTTTTCTGACTCTAGGGTCTCTGTATGTTCGCCAATCTCCTATCCCTTTTTGGATTCTCATCGCACTCAAACTTGACAGAATAGACTCCTGATGCCGCTTTGAGCTTTCGCGATTGGATCTGCATGCGCAATTCATACGATGTTGGCATTCGCAGTGCTCGATATATCTCTCCTTGGTGTTTTAGGTGACCAAAGTCGAAAACAACTTTTCATGTCTTTCCCGTGCTGACATTCTGCATGTCTAGACTTCTGTAATCGGACTGATTCTGTTTCTTCTTTCGTCTTCACTGTACCAAAGCAGCTTTCTGCATCGAGCAGCGTGTCCTTTTCTCGATGTATAAATGCTACCACTAAACCCCCCATTCCCGGCACCCCAGTTTCTTAATTCTTCAATATGGAGAACGACAATGCCACTTCTTCTGAAATTCAGCGATACATGGATTCTCTGCCAGAACCCGATCGAGCTGAGTTTGCAGCTGTGAGCCCCCTTATTATCGCTGTTGCCTGCGAGCTCATCACGATGTTTCTTTAGTTCCTGACTTGGATCGCAGGTCTAACTCCAGCTCAGTGTCAAGATGTAAGCGCTCTTTTTGTTTCCACTCACAAATTAATCACATCGTTTGCGTCCTGGCCCCTTCTCTTCGACAGTATATGGATGGAAAGCTTCTACCAAGCGTGGACAATGGTTATTCTTTCCAAAGAACCAATGTCCAAGTTGGGGGACAATCTGTAGGGGCAAGTGCTGCTCGTGGGTTTGCCGGACCTGGACAAGCAAATATCACTCCGAGCCCGGTGCAAGCAGGTGTTGGCCCTACTACAAGAGATCAGAGACGTGTGAGCTAATCTTTTTTTTTCTCAACAATCACTGACACGATGCACAGGGGGTCATGGCCTTCTTGCATGTCATACGTAGCGATGGCCTTGTCGTCTTGGAAGAAATGAGTGCATCGTCTGCGGATGATGTTTACTCTGCTGCTAGGCGCCAGCATACAACCTATGATGGTCCTTTGCAAAGGTATCTGGGACGTGACTGAATATTGATCCTCGTGTTATATAAAGGTGAATAATATTCCGTCAAGTAGTGTCCCCTATATATTGACGCGTGAA